GATAGGGCATGCGTGTGAGTTGGTATGTAGGTTGTGTGTCATTTAAAGTCACCTTGAATAAGTGTGTCAACATAATGTAAAGTATCCTCTAGCAGGACAAATCTGATTTTCCCCTCTGGTGGCATCACATCTGGGGGATATTCTTAGCACTTCATCAGTCCTCTCTCAGGGCGGATAAGGATGTTATGATAGGTGTGGATGAAAGATGTTTGAACGCTGCATTTCATATCAACCTGGAGTTATTACTACAGCCTCTTCTAGCAATTTAGGATGTCAAATAAAGGTTATTCTTAGCAGCTCTTCTTTTCAAATCTGGGACAATTGTTTGCAAATAATTCTTATTCTTTCGTATTGCCCTACTTTTAGTACTACATATGAACGGTTTAGTGCATCAGGATAATGCACAGTGTCAGGTTGAGACTGCTGAGTGCATCCCTGTGCTTTATGAAATTATTTGTAATTACATGTATTGTCACTGATGACAGACCGGTGACAGTGTGGTAGCAGCGAGACTGCAAATACTACAAATGATTTGTGAGCACTTTAGTTTCATGTGATATAAATGTGTGTGGAACAAACAAACAAGGCCACAGATCAACATCCTCTTTACTCTCGTGCTCTCATCTAATTAGAGCCAGGTTTGTATCTACCGTGTAAAGGTTTAAATTGCTTAATTATAACCGAAGAAGAGGTCATAAATACAAAACAGGTGAATGCGAAGCTGGTTCTACGTACAATGAGCTCTAACTATCCCCTGTGCCATTTTCCAAAGAAAGCATTCGTATACAGACGTTCATGCAAAAAGTAAAAACAATTGACACACCAACTTCCAAATGTTTTCACAGACTATGTAAAGCTACACTATCATAGATCTTATGTTTGGGTTTGATCCTTCAACTTTGTACTTTGTGCAAACAGTGACTGATTTGGTGTAGTCCCTGTCCCACAGCTCCCTCCAGCAGAAATACAGCATCTTCCTTTTTTTATCTGTTTTGCCCGAGAGGCACAGTTTTAACACACTTTGCAATTGTATCTGCTCCTAAATCATCTTTCTCCTCCTGCTGGAGCTGTCATACTTCATTAAGTTTATCTAATGACCACTACTAGCTCTGTAATGCGCCGGTCTGCTGTCTCTCTGCCTGGGCCCTGCTACTCTGCTTCTCTTGAGGTCCATTTTTTGTCACTACACTCCTGTTAGGACTGTCATCTCCAATTTTACTGTTACATTAGAGCTCCTCTGTTGGTAATTAATTAGATACAGAAGTATTTATATGGTCAATGAAACATCTGATTGAGCAACATCTCGTTCATCTGCAGCCAGCAGCATCCAGACAACCTGCAAAGTGGCACAAGTGCTAACTGAGCACAGAGTCTGTTGCCTGTTCACCTCCTCTCACCTGTACAATGAGTCTCTTCTGACCTCTTCCTCACTCCCCTCCAGCCTGGAGAAGAAGATCCCACAGGATCCTCTCAAGGCATTGCTGAGCATTTCATAAGTGGTTGTAGACAACATGCGGGTGACCAGAGGTCTCTGCCTCATTCCACGACACAGGGAGTTTGCTAGTATCTTTAACATCTCAGCAACCAGCTTCAAGGTCACAACTGGTCCAGTTAAGGCCTGGAAATGGAGAGCTTTCACTGTCAATGGAAATTACATTACGTTAGTGGACCCCGTTTAAAACAGTCCATGATTTGATCAACAAAATAGATGAATGTGCTGTGGGTCGAGGAACAGGGTTGAAACGAATAGGTCTACGAGGATCCTGGCTACCTGTTTATTAAACCACAGCTGTTTGACACAAAGAGGTGATGACAGTTGGAGAAGCATTCATGGTGTCTGTTTCATACTCATCTATCTCGTGTGAAAGGCCCCCCTTTGGTTTTACTGGAGCTATGTTTTTCCCATGGGAGTTTTTCTTGTCTTCTCTGGGCATTCAAGGTACAATGTAAGCTATAGTCTTTCCAACATTTTTTTATCTTCATATTTCTAAAACTAAACTTCTATGATTTCTTTAACCTGCCCAGTACATGCTGGGAGATGCCCCAGACCTCCATGACAGGAATAAGGAATAAGCATGTGTAGAAATGGATGGGTGTGTGTATGCAGTGGTTTTGTACTACAACATGTTTCATTAATATGAAAAGAAAGAGAAATTAGACAACTGGTTTGTTAAGTGTTGTTAAGCTCACTTAAATAAAAATAGAAAACAGTGTGTTGGAATAAAAAACAACCACATCACTGTGGTGATCATTGATTATTGTAAAGCTTCTGTTGGACCAAACACAATGTTGGGTTTAAGGCGGACACATATTTTAAGGACATGGTTTGTGTTAAGGATGACAGCAACATATATAAAGAAGTGGAAAGAAGGATTTTGATGCTGATATATTTATTCTCAATGGGTCCGAATGAGGAGTATTTCATTCATATTGTGCACATTCACAGCTGTGATTCAATCAATCACAGGGTCAAGATTTGAAACACGGGTTGCATTAAAACCCCTGAGGTGACAAAACCATGTGATGTTTTTATATATTTATAGTATCCAGAATGATAAAAATCAATCAATCCCGCAGGTTTGTTGTTACCAGTCACAGGTGTGTTGGAATAGAGATGATCAACTGAGAGCAACGAAACAAAATGGCAAAATAAACCACCAATTCTTTAAGACGGCAGGATGTTTTCAGCAAATATATTTGTTTCCTCCGATACCTGAAACATTGTGTACCCATTAAGAGGGAACAGAGAGCGAGGGAGCCCTTTGGCCACAGAGCTAATGGGAAACACATTGCTCTTTTTGGAGATTCAATGTAAAACCTGCTGATAATGTCTGAAACAGTCTAACGAACAGCAGAGAAGATTTAAAATGATACAAAAAGGTTTGTTTCCACTGTAAGGACACTAGTTACACCTGTAAGTGATGTTGTATAACTTGTCCATATAATCAGTGGCAAAATCTGTGTTCAGAGCAACACTTTGAGCAGAGCCCCATCACATAATTCATCTTTATTTTAATCCAGATGATCAATCAAGATGATATTGTGCCATGGTTTGAATTGCCTGCTCAGCACACTTGTAGGAAGTGGTTTACTGCACAGAGCGCCTGAATGTACATGAGAGCTCTCAGAATAACCTCTCTCCAATAAGTGAGTGTAAACTGGAATAATATTCCAGTTCAACAAGATGTTCTACAACATTGAGGCATGAATGAAGTGCAGGCGCTGGCCCCTTAGCACAGTTATTATCAGCATTTTAAGTTTTTTTTTTTAATCGAGCAAGCTGACACATGAAAAATAAGAAAGTATAAACTGAAAAAAGACTATTTAAATGTCTGTATTGGCTCCTTGAATAGGTCGGGCACCTTGCACCTCAATACCAATGATTTCTGTATTTCTTTACTTGAACTTTATTACTTTAAAGACTTGTATCTACTATTCATGACACAAAAGATTGAACTCTACCACTTCTACTGCTGCACATACTGTATACACACTCTGTGAATCGCAGCTCCCGGCACTACAAATCTCAATTTCACCCCTGAATATAAGAAATGGCTTCATAATGACAGGGAATAGAAAGGACAGTGGGGGAGGGGGAGTCCTGTCTTATTTCATTTTGAGGATAAATGTGGACTGACGACATCCCAAGTTAGTTAAAGCTTTTGCCAAAGTTGTCACCACAGTACGGTAAAGTAAAGTGTGCGGACACCTGAAGATTAGAGCCCCTGAACATCTCACCCCAAAACCATGGCCTTAAATAAGCTGCTTTAACGATATCTAGAGTCCTGAAAAAAAGGCTTTCAACAAGAGTTTTGGGACCTGGTCTCAGGGATTTACTGCCATTCAGCCCCAAGAGCATGAGTGAAGTTGGACACTGATGTTGGGTGATGAGGGCTGGCACACTGTCGGCGTTCCAGTTTGTCTCAAAGGTGTTGGGTATAGGCTCGAGGTCAGTGAACCATAACACACTCAGAAAAGCATCCTCATTGTATTTACCTGGGCCTTGTCACTGTGAAACAGGTCAGGGCTTTCCCAAGTTGTTGCTATGAAGTATGGAGTACATAGGCCTTTCTCTGGCAGACATTTTGACTTGACACAGATGTAAAATAACAGGTGTGACCAAGTGTTCCAACAAACCATGACGGTGAGCCAGCATGCACAATACCAGGACACTGAAACCCAAAGCAGAGTAATATGTATTACTGAATTGTAATTATTAATGCATTAATGTGCAAGCGTCACTTTAAAGTTGCAGCTGGTGAAGGTGGAGCTAGTTTCAACGACTTTATATACTGCTATAGGTTTCTTGATATATACTAATACATCAATTGTTTTGATTTATATTTTGGAGTAATAATCTGAAAATTAACAACTAGAGCTGTCAAATATATGTAGTGGAGTAAATAGTACAATATTTATTTCTGAAATTGGAAATACTCATGTAACATATAAGATTATACAATTATAAATTCCAGTACTTGAGTAAATGCACTTATTTGCTTTTCACCACTCGGATTAATGGCTCACCACCCTCATAATTTGAATATTTTGACTGTAAGAGGACTGCTGACTGAGAGTACTTTCAATTCCCAGAAAATAAGTACATACTCAGTACATTAGGGACAAGAGCTCGAACGCTGCCAGACACTCCAGATTGAAGTAAAATTTCGAATGAAATGCTGTTACTGCCACCTACTGGAGCACTGTGCAACTTCCCTTGTCTTATATGTTCCTGCAGCAGAAAGCAAAACACATTGAACAACACCAGGAGTTACATTTTATTCTGTAATAAAACTTCCACCATAATTTATTTGTAAAACACTATACCTTTCAATGAATCTCTACAATTCGTTTGCACATCATTTACAGGCTTTCAATGCTTAATGAGGTCCATGCACAATATAATTGATCACAAAACATAGAAAGACACTACATTCTTTGTTCAGGTGTTTTAAACTCATAGATAACATACAGTTACAACATGACTAATCTAGTGGGCATTAGTGTATTTTTAAATGACAGTCATACAGGCACATTATCTCTCTTGTGTACGCTTCTAATGTGTCTGCCGAGAGACTCCATCCACTTGAAGGATTTACCACAATAATTGCAGACAAACTGTTTCCCTTCAGTGTGGATCGTCTGGTGTCTGTTCAGAGCGCTCGTTGTGACGAACGTCTTCCTGCATATGTCACATCTGTACGGCCTCTCTCCCGTGTGCGTCCTGATGTGAGCTGCGAGGTGGGAGCAGTTACTGAAGCGCTTTTCGCAAACGGAGCAGCAGTAGGGTTTCTCCTTGCCCTCCTCGCCGTGGTTGTTGTGGTAAGGGTGGAAGAGCAAGGCGGGGTCCTGCAGGCTGCTTCTCAGGCTGGAAGGAGACAAGATGAAGTCTTTGATGTCTGATTCGAGGCTCTCGAGCTGCTCTACCTCGTGGCCGTTCCAGAAGTCCCTGTGGCTCTTCAGCTGCTGCTGCTCCTTCTTCACCTGAGAGGGCTCCGCGTGCTCCTGCTCCATGCTGCCGCTCCCGTCCTCCTCACAGTGCTGGGACTCAGGAGGCTCCTCTGAAGGGACTGACTGATGGAGCTGCTGAGGAGGAGGAGGAGGAGGAGGAAGAGGAGGGTGGTGATGGGTGAGCTGCTGCAGCTGGGCTCCGAGGCATCTATCCAACCGTGGCTCTAGGTGAAAAGACAATACTATCATCACAATCATGGCATGTATCTAAAACAAACAATGCAGAGCTACATGACGTTTGGTTGCACGCGGCTGCCATTGAAACCAACCTGACTTGAGAAGCCTCAGCTGCATCCTCAGACGACTGATTTCTAAATCTTTGGACCGATAAATCTCCTCTTTGTACTCGGCTATTGTATTCTCGACAGCTCCAAATATCTCCTCCGCCGCTGCTGTCAGTCTCTCGCTGAGAAACACTCTCAGTGACTGCATTTTGGACGTTTACAGATCAAATGAAACGCGTTTAATGGGCGCTGGGAACGTCACGCTTCGCTTGTAAACACGGACGTGAGACTGAGCCACACAAAGTGTTCAGTATGGGGGCACTACCGCCCCCTGCTGGACTGGGGTGCAAAGGTAAGACATCAGGCTGCAGAAGGGGGGCGGGAGCACATTGTGACGTAATGTAGTGCAGCACATTGACTCAATTCAAATATAACATTATAAACCTTACACAAGTTGTATTTATTAAAGGGCTATTGTATATAAATTAGGTTCCTCAAATAGAAAGTTTCGTTGCTATTTTAATAGTCTTAGCTCATGTCCTGATTTAATTTTTTTGAAATTGTGGGTTTGATAGTATGCCTAAAACTAAAATACTATGAAATCAATGCTGGATTACCAAATGGACAAAGAGGGCAGCTGGCCAGGGATTCTGAGGAGCCAGATATCCTTGGTGGCAATTACTTTGATAATTTAAAAAAAGTGTTTAGGAGTATGCGCCACTAAAAATGGTAGGGTCCACAGATGGCTCCTGTATTTTTGCCCAATCAAGAGGCCTTTTTGCCAACTGTTCAATATCAAAATCTATTCATTTTAGTTTATTACATTGTGTGTATTCATAATGAAAGTAGTGTTTCAATTTATCACAAACTCACAGCAAATAAATAAGATTCCTATTTTTTAAATAGCTATTGCATTTGATTACATGATATTCTACAAGTGTTCTGGTTATTTTGTCCTCCTGTACCTACAGCATTGTAGTGACTGGAAGTGGTTCAGTCCTGTGGCAGCCAATATTTGGTTAAAACTAGATGTTTGCTGAAGACAGACTGATTCTGACGGAAATTTTGACCTGGGCTTCGAGATCGTTTCAGCAGTCAGTGCAGACACCTGGATCCATTACGATTTAAAATGTTCGTGTGTATCGGCGAGTGAAATATAGAAGTTAGAAACCAACCAGGCTTAACTCTGAAATGACTGTAGTTAGATCTTATAAGAGATGTTACAACAAACAGAAGATGTGGTGACCAAAATCCTCAGTGCACTTTAGGGTTTATTTTAACAAAGTTCTTTATTCTCGATTAGTTTTGTGTAAAAGTTTGTAATTCGTAAACTAGAATTTAATGTCCCGAGTCCTTCACTGCGGGATTAAAAATAGCGGTCAAATGCTTCCCTGCATGGCATTGTCTTTAAAGGAGGTCACGTCTGTAATGAGATACTCCCTCTCCTGCCAGCTTGAGAATC